GGGGGATATCCGTTGCATGATTTCGTTACATAGCAACTCGCATGATACGAACTTACCCTACCGTGCGTAAAAAAGTTTCACTTCAAAAATTGAAAGATTGGAACGATTTTTTGATTTTAATTTTACGACTGTTTAAAGAAATATCTACAAAATAATAAATTTAATATACAAATTGAATACACTGAATTATCGGAAACTTTGCAAAAGCACCTCATCTGGAAGAAATAACCTTTTTCACCCTTATTAACTTTTGAATTTTGCGCATCCCAGTTAAAGGGGAAGAAATTAATAAGTTATTTATACTAAATTTGGCTAATGGCGCTATTCATAATTTGGTAACTTTTAATCATTAGAAGTAGCTAATATAATAGTGACGAAAAATTATCTGTACGTATAAGGCGAGATGATTATTAAAAATTCCAAAATTTGAAATGGGAAAATTTTGAAAATTATCCACCTCCTACAAACAAGGTTTACTCAGTTTTTAGTAAAATTAATTTAGTCAAGAAACCCGCCACTAATCTCCACCCTTTTTAATACATACAATTATTTATCTTATTGTAGAGAAAATCACACCGTTTGAAGAGTATAATATCTAATTAGTAATAATTATAATAATATTAAGTTTTTTTCGACGAACACATTGACAAATGCGACAAACAACACATGTATTCTTTTGTGTTGTTATTCAGATATGTGACGACGTAGGTATTAACAATTTTAATTTTTTTTGTTATTTTATTTTTCAATTTTTTCTTTTTTTACTGAGGAAGCAACTCCGTTGGTCCGAGATTTTGTGTATATAGGCTAACGAACGACGCCCTTCCAGCATGTTAAGTCATTGTGACGCCAACAACGAACCGCCCCAATTAACCCTATACCTACTATGTTACATTGTATCTTATTTATCACCTGCATCGGCTCAGAGCATTACCGATAAAATGATAATTAAAATGATGACAGCTACAATGAGGCAGATTATGATGAAGATTTTTTTCTGTAAAAGAAAAAAGAAACGGGAACACACCATTAGTTGGATCTTTTTTGTCCGACCTGCACGCACGCGATAGGGATGAAAAACACTTACTAGAGATTATTGTATAGAGGAGGCAAGCCGGAGGTTGCTACGGATTGAAACTCTCTCCGCATTTTTCTTCAAAAATTCATTTTTCATTATCTCTGTTTAAAACGCTTCCACTTTCGACTGACTACATAACCGAAATACATGAAATGACCGACATTTTCTTGAAAGCTTTTCATCAATAACTCCCCGACCCAAACGACCCTTCGAAATTTTTAAATAAAATCAATGGCAGATGCAACAAATGCTATGCAAATTAAATAGTTAAATCTACTACAAACCAATAATTTGTTTGGATAATTTATTTACATTAAATTTTTGTTTAACTGCGTTAACCCATTCGAACGTAGAATATCATTCATTAACCACGAGCCAGTCACACGCTAGATAAGTATATGTATACAGAGTGAAGTAATGTTAATAAAAAAATAAAAGGGTGGTGATAAGTTTAAATCTGCTAAGCCGTTGCAAGGTTGCAACTACAGGAATTATCATTTTTATTATAAGTAGTTATTTTGATAATATTTGTAAATTACGTAGTTAATATTTTATGTGTATCCAATGGAAATAAAATTTTCACCTTAATTACGTAAATATTACTTAACGCTGTTTGGGAGGTATGTCAAAATGCTACGAGACAAATAAAAATTTGGAAGAACGTTCCTCATTCAATTTTAAAACTCCTGTAAAAATTACAAATCGATTCAGTAAACCGTTAAAAGGTTATTGCAATTTNCTATACTAATAAACAAGTAGTAACAATAATAATTTAGGACCGAACACGAAGCAGAAGAACATTTCATAAAACACGATGTATAATAGTATTAATAATAAAATTAGCACCTCACAGCTGTTCTTTATTATCACGAATTATGATTAAATGCCTCCGAATGTTTTTATCTATCTCTGTCAACAACTAGTCACGAGCACATCCATGGAAACAATCATCATCATCATCCTTTCCTAGTCCAAAATCTACTTCTACACTTTTTTTAAATGAAATATTTAAAATCAATCAACTGAACCAATTGACTAACAATTATCCTTATTATTGGATTAAAACAAGAAGCACACGTATATTTCTGGCGATAATGCCAATTGTCTTTGTTAGCCTTTCCATTTTCTCACAAATTATATGAGACAAAGTAAGGAATGATGAATCAAAAAATAAGGAAAAATTATAAATTAATTTGTCGGGAGCACCGACACCAAAATAATAATTATAATCACGATGATCACCAATATTAGGCAAATAATGATGAAAATCAACTTCTGCAATAAGAAAAATAGAATGTTAGTGAAAAAATCAATAAGAAAAAATCGAATTAAAAACAATAAATATAGAACAAAAGAATGAGATGATACGGATAAATGAAATAACTGAGGAACTGATACAGGAAAATAAACAAAAAACAAAATTTTAAGTGAAAGTGCAAAAAGCAATTGTAATAGAACAATGTGTTCAAAATAAAAGAAAAAGCTCTAAGGATTTAACACAAAAAATAAGACTTCAACAAGAAAACAATTAAGGATTTAAGACTACATAACTCTACGCCAATGTGTAAAAATAGAAAACAAATATTATTCAGAATAGTTATAGGGTGATCGTAAAAAAAACAAAACTAAACAAAATACCCTACATGTGCATTTACGAGTATGTGTACCAGTGAAAGACTAAAAAAAATGCTAATAATTACTTCAACTCAGTTTATTTTTAACAAACTGCAATAAATTTTTAAACTGCATTTTTTGAACTTAATAAAATAAACAATAAAAAATAATAAATATTTAAATTATATAAACAATTGGTTAAAGTTCCACTATTTTTTTTTAATGTGTAACTAGTAGTACAAGTACCAAAAAATTAACACTCCCAAAACGCAATAACGAAAACAATTATCGGTTTTCCCTTGTTGTAAAAGTACTTTGCCGCTTTTAATTTAAATTTTACAATATGGTTAACCCTTAGATACTCTTCGTAATAGCTTTTTGCCGAAATAATTGTAGAGATAAAAATTCAAAAACAGTTAAACGAAGAACCTTTTTTTTATTTGAAACTGCAAAGATGAAAAACATGTTTAATACAAAATTGGTCCTTCGAAATCTCATCCGACAAGAATTTTTTTTCAGGTGCTATTCTAGAGTGCATAAGAGTTGATTTCTCAATCATCGAAGTCTATCAACACTTAGCCAATTAACCAAATCAAAACAAAAGGGAACAAAGTTTGGTGAAATTTTCGACAAGGACAATTGACATCACGCTGTAAAAACTATCACTAACACAAATAGAACTTTGACTAAAGTCACAAAATGGGAATAAAAACAAGCACTGACTTTTCAAAAATATAAAGTCCACTTAATGAAAAGAATTTTTCGAGTTGATGAAATGGAATTTTGAGATCTTTTTAATCAATAAGTGCATATATTGACATAATACTTTAGTATTACTATATACAGAGTGTTTTCATTTTTTTAATCCCATTTTGCAATCGTTTGTCAAAGTAGGGCAACGACCACAACAAAACTCTCTACAACAAACACACACGCGCACACTTAATACCCGGTACCTAACAGTAACCTACAACATCCCCATCGATAAATATACTTAATATCTATGACGTAAATAAGCGTGACTATATAGGCACACAAGTGAAAAAATTTGAAAAATGCGTAGGAGACAAAAGAAAATCGGAGGAAATACGGGAAATGGGACGACCTACCTTCCTGGCTTTCGTCTGATATTCTTCGGCCATCTTCAGTTCCGAACGACCCACGTGGACGGCATCGGTGGCCTGTGACACGTGGTATTCCACCCTGTCGACCAATTCGCCCTAAAGCGTGGTAAGACAGGGAAGGGACGAAACGGGGGATAATAACAAAAAGGACGTTGGGCGACAGGTGACATATCGTGTTAAAAAATAGTGAAAAAGTACACATAAGATAGAGAAAGAGACACCAAGAAAGAGACCAGCACAAATTGCACATTCAATTAGTAATAAATACATAGTAGTAATATACATGTATACGTATATACAAACACACATATATAGTAATTAGTATTTGGTTAGACGATTAAAGAAAAAATAAAATACAGTGACAAAGGCACACGAATAATAAATAGTTAGTTGACCATGACCACAGAACGTGTTAACGAATGTTACATAACAGTGCACCACCACCATCAATATTACCACCAACCATCGAATAATAATAATAATAATAATAATATAGGTCAATGCAAAAAGCGATTTCAATGAATGAACGGTCAGGGAAGGAAGTCAGAGACAAGTAATTGCAATGCAGTAACGGTCGGAACAATTGACAATGGACAGGAAGAGGAACGAGAGTGAGACGAAAAAAAAAAAAGAGAAAAACGAAAATCAGAAAAGCGAAAACACTGTCCGTGACGTTTTCTACAATCTAAGTTGGAACAACTCACCCGTCTGGCTTTGCTTTGGTACTTGAGAGCCTTCTTGGTGTCCTGGGTCGCCGTTTGTACGTAATCTACGGCGTGCTCTACGTGATACTCGATACGATCTATCATTTCTCCCTATCGATTGTTGTTTGTTTTTTTGTTTTGTTTTTTGATAGACCAATCGACCCCCAGGCGACAGAAGAGAATGAAGACAAGAGAAGGGAGAGAAAAAACAACCGAAATATTAGTAATTAGCAACCATGCAAGAAGCTGAAGAGGCACAAGCCCAAAGTACATTTCGTTTTGCCTAAATTACAATCAGAATTTTCGAAAAAAAATATCGCGTAAAAATGCAAACCGTTTTCCAGAAATTATAGCCGATATAATTTAACTAGTGACAATTTGTTTCAAAATCAAAAAAATCACTTTTAGGACAAATTGACGAGCTAATGTAAAGAAACTGTAAGGGTTCGTAGAGGCCTTGAAACCCTAAAAAGATCACTCTGTAGAGATATAACAGTAGACAATCGATAGTGCGAACCAATGAACACAACAGTTTTCAATTTTAGTATTAGCGATTTATTCACGTTAGCGAATGTTATACTTAATATGTACGATAATAAACATCTACAATTAATAATGTAATTTTATATCAAAATACTTACAACCCCTTTTTGTTTCTGATCTTTTACACATTGTAATAACAGAAAGAAAAAGAATTCATAGTTTATTTAACTTTGGGTTTATCTAATACGTGAAGTTCTTCGAATCGTTTTCTACGAATTTTGAATTATAGACGTTTATTAGCACCCCACAATATCTTGTCGTTTTTAGTTTTACACAGCTGACGTATATCAAATCGATATTGTTTTGCGGACAGTTTTGTCGTAATTCATAGAATTTCCTAGTTCCTTGCTAAAGGAAGGAAAAGTGATGACTTGGTAGGTGCTGATATCAATTTGAAACTTAAAAATTCCATGGACCATGACATTGAACCCGGAAAACAATATCGATCCAATATTTTAGATTATCCAATCTCAAGGAGTTTAGAATTTTTTGAGCTCTCTTCAGTTAAAGAATTAGAAGACATTTATGGAATGTCTCTTTGAATATGAGCAACTTTTATTTATGATTTTATATAATGTTTGATCGGTGATACTAGCAAAACTTTTAACGGCAAAAATGGATTTTGCATTTCACAACTAGAAAAGTATTTTAAATAAAACACAAAGTGCTTTTTTTAAAAGAAGTATTTAAATGAAAGATAAAAAGAGGTATTTTTTATTTTGTATATATGCATTTTAAATGCAAGTATTTCAAATAAATCACATATCTGCTAGGGAACTACCAAATATGTTGGGTATTTTAAATATGATGTAATAGCAAAGGCGAAATATCGATTATTTTTAGAAAGTTTAGTTTGTTCACGGTATACAGCGGCATAGTATCATTATTAATATTCTATCTACATTATGAGGGGTTTCCGTTACGCGATGTTCACACCTATCTAGTGTCTACTGCATTTTGAAAATAAAACTCCATTCAGAGCACATAAAAAATTATGTTTATTGACTAAGATGTAATAAGCATTAATTTCTTATTGATTCACATCCAAGTGACTAATAAATTATTTCAATCGTCTATCGATTTGTCGGAAAACAGAAGTTGGCAAATTGAAAATGCGTTTATTGTTATTTATAAACTAATAGCTAGCGTTCGTAGTGGATTAACGATTGTACTGTACATATTTAATTAGTAATGTTAATGAGTTTTGTGTTGTTAGTCACCAAAAACAATGTATTGTATGTGTATTATTGCTGGCTGCACGAAGAGTACATGCACCGATTTAGTTTGATTGTGAAGATATAAGAAAATATATTTGCTGGTACCTATGTTTATTGAAAAAAAATCAAGAATAAACAAAAATGTATCATCAACCCCCACCAGATGTCTATGACTAAGATTCGGCATTCAATAAAAATAAAAAAGAAAAAATAGCACAGCGCGCTATCAACTACCACGGCATGGGTTCCGTACCTTAACAAAGTGTTTTGTTTCCGATAAAATTTATAAAACTCTATCTATTTTTGATTTTTTAGTCTTCAGATTTTATCATTATCGTCATAAGTCCTAAGAATGGTTGGGCACGCACCTCCATTTTTTCCTATCGTGAGATAATCTTCGCATTTTCCTAAAACATCCCACATCCTTAACAGTAATCTAATCTATGTGTTTTTTCTGACTGAGAAGGTGTACTACCAACTTATCTCGCCTATTTCTTATTGACTTCCACAGTTCTCCTATTCTTTCAAATTCCTCCTCATTTCTAACTATGCCTATCCACGGTCACCTCATCATTCGTCTAGAACGCTTATTACCTTTCCTTTTCCGCTGCGCCCACTGTCCATGTTTCACCCTCGTACAACGCCGCGCCCCAGAAATACACCTTTATCTTTTTAAAAATTTTAACTTTTAGAAGCATAGAAGTCACTTCATCCTGTCGAAAGCGACTCGACCCTGCGTTATCCTTTATTTAATATCTCTATTGATCTTTCCATCCTAAGAAAATCAGCCACTTCTTCTAATTTTTCGTCCCCTACCTTTATAATCGCTCTTTCCCTACTTTTTCTTCCCTTGCATACCAGTATTTTTGTCTAATTTTTATTTATTTTCATACAATACTGTTTTGTCAATACTGCTTCCATATTATTTAAGGCTATCCCTAACTCTTCCTTGCTAGGTGCTGCTATATCATCTGCAAATCTAAATATACTAATCTTTTACCCTTGTATATATATCCCTAAAGTTGTCCTGTATTTAATGATATTTATCGCGTCTTTGGTGTGTATACAGGGGGTACCCTCGCCTGACTCCCTTCTTCATATAAATCAATCAATGAGTTTCAAATTCATTCATTAAAGAATTTTTGAGAAATCATTATTTAATTTCAAAATTAAAATAAGAAAAAGGCAATTAATCAGTAACAATGTTATTTTCGCATTCAAAAGCGATATAAGCAATATCTGTAGTCCTCATAACTTTAAACTAACAAATTAGCATTAACACAATGCATTTCTGCTTAACTAAACCAAGAAACTTTCTAATTGGGTTGTCGAAAAAAAAAAAAGCGTCTGAAAACACAATATTATTTCGGTCAAGAGTAGTTTATTTTTCGTTTTGACATTTCCATTAATTTCGGATGAGCATCCCTCTACGTCCCGGTGCAGTCGCCGCGGCGACCCTGATTGTTACGAAGGAACAGGACGAGGAGGAGGAGGAGTCGATTTCAAAAGACCATTAAGTTATTTGCAAGTCACTTTATCCGGTCGCCTTTGCCTATTATTATTAAAATATAAAAGGAGCTCTCCACGAAGCCAGTCCGATCAATAAATTCGCGAACTTACATCAAAGAAGGGGGTTGTATATGTAGGTAACATAAAAGACGCTAGCCGGCACACGGATTTGTTGTCCTGATTTTTATTAGCATCACAACACTACAGGAACAAATCGAACGTGTGTGCTCTCTTTCTACATCTAAGAGAATAATAGGAAAACATGAATTTAAACCGGTACACTTTTGTTTCAAGGAAAAAAAAAAACAATTGAAGCATGAAAACAATATCGAAATCTCGATCGGTGCAGCTATCTCATCTTATAATACAATGTTCTGGAAACAATGCTTCTAATTAACAGATGGAAGAGCTCTTTATGCCTATTTTCGGTATCTAGAATGTTGTCATTTTTTTTTTGTTAAAACACCCTACTTATTTGAGATGAACTTACAATAAAGTGAACGAATTTAAATGTCCATATTTAGTATTCATTCCAATAGGTAATCTCTAAATTTAAATGTTTGACGTTTAGGCCAAGGCTTAGATTAGGTTATGGTATCAGGGATCGCCATGATTAAAATGTAACTAATGTTCATAATCGAGATCGGCAATCGTCCGTCCAAATTTCGACGGGTTCAACTGGTTTAAAGAAAATGACATGGAAAACTTTTTGGTTTCATAAAACGCAAACAAAATTCGATTTCAGTTTTCGGGGTGTGTAATATTTAAATTATGAATCCAAAAGTCGTGTTGATTCAAAATGTACTCCTATACACACATGTGTATTTCAATATATACATACTTTCACCAATTAAAATTAATGGAGCACCCTTTAAAAAGTGCTCCCAACTTGTGCCATGACCGCGATTAAAAAAAGGTCCGAGAAAAAGAGAACGAGACGGGGGATAAAAAAGAAAACCCCTTGGCATACGTTGTACACGTAAAAGTACATAGTTTCTTGTTAACGATCGTTTTGGCAAGGAGCCAAGAATCGATAGATTTATGGTTAAAACGCTTCGACTGATACGATTCAATTAGGACGTGGTTTAAAATGATACAAAAACATGACACAGGGCTATATATAAACTAAAACTTGTGGGACTGATACTTAATTGATTTAAATAATATATCGAATGCAAACAACCGAAACAGGTATATTGAAAACGAATACCAACACATTTGCACAAAATAATTTGAAATTTTATTACTAATAAACATGCTGTATTTTAGTTTCAGAAATAAAGAAATTCATTTTACTCAGTAATATACACTAGCCGCGAATCGGTAACCAAACATGTAATCATCAAAAGTCGGCATCATCTTTTGAAAAATACGACGTAATACAGGACAACCCTTACAAATACCTTCATCAATCTTTTCATATAAATCGAAAGTTTTAAGGGATGTAACGCATTGTTCAAAAGATTTTAAGAGTTCGGTAAGTTTAAGACAGTTTTCATAGAACCGTGAAGTATTTTCAGATAGGCGTGATTCAGAAAATATACTCCACACGTCTTCCAATAGCAACATGAAAAGGAATATGCCGACAAAGAAATGTAAACATTTTGCCTTACCGGTATATAACATCTGAAGAAGATATTAGCAAAACAATCGCAAACTGAAAACACCATTTCAATATTGCAATAATATTAAGGGGTGACATTTTTCTGGGAAACTACATCTCTGACATTAAGTTCATATAAAATTAAAGTTTTTCTAGTCTAGTAAAATTTCTAGACAATACTCGAACTAAAACTATTCGACGCGAAAGGTTATTATTGCAATAAATAGTGAATATAATTTACAAATAATTACCTATTCCCTTTGGAGAAAAACGTTTGATTTCTTATAAGTGTTTAGTTTTTCCTGTAAGGTACGGAACCCTAAAAATCATATTACTTACAAATTTACCGATTTTACCCGTAATACATCTGGTGAACATTGAAACATAACAAAATATTTCGTATCAAATTGTGTATCGCATTATTTAACATTAAAAAAGAAACAACACTCAAAATTATTACTGAAAACATTACTGCGTCAAGATAACGTAATAAAAATATAATGTAAACAATTAATAAGGAACGACGATGAACAAATTATCATAAAACTCATAAAAATTAATATCTTTTTATTTAACTGATTTTATCTCATAATCGTTTTATTTGGCTATAGTTTTA